AAGAAAAAAGAAAGAGCCACAGAAGAGCCACAGAAGCAGACAAACCTCTGCATACCAATTGAAAAAATTGCTTCCGAGAAATCCAATCTCGCTTGCATTTGTGATCGTTCTGCATGTGTTCCTGGTGTTGACTTCATTTAAACTGCAAAAGCCCTGCTCAGAAACTGTCCCACCTCAATTATTTCTGCCTTTCATCTCATAGCGTTGGGCTGTCCGGAAAGTTTCCGCCGTTGGTAGCTTACTTGAGCTCTGAAGTGCTTGAGATCCTTCCAACGATTTCATCTCGAATCGGTTCCGTTGTCATTTCTTCACACTCAGTTGGAAGTGTAGCAAAACCAAGATAAGAAGAAAAAAGAAAGAGCCACAGAAGAGCCACAGAAGCAGACAAACCTCTGCATACCAATTGAAAAAATTGCTCCCGAGAAATCGAATCTCGCTTGCATTTGTGATCGTTCTGCATGTGTTCCTGGTGTTGACTTCATTTAAACTGCAAAAGCCCTGCTCAGAAACTGTCCCACCTCAATTATTTCTGCCTTTCATCTCATAGCGTTCTTGTGGCATATTGACCTTAGTCGATCTTGATAAGTCTTGCAACCAAAGCCGCTGAATACACTTTTGAGTTGACCAACTCTTAATTTAGGCTCTGCTTACTTGCATAAGCGACATTAAACCATAACAAAAACAAATGTAAAACAATAGGCTTACACCATATTGTTGAGAACACCAGGAACTAACAAAATTTATTACTCCACTCAAACAGATTACACTGCACTTAACTAACTAATATGAATTAAGATAAAACTGTTAGTCAATTATTCACGTCGGGTCGCTTCCATCTACCTGCCGCTCGACCACAAAGATTCGAACTAAAGCAGCTCTCAAATAAACAGTTATAAGGGCTAAGGCCCTGCGAGTCTTCCAAAGAAAAGTAGAGCCATGAAATATTAGAGAGGTCAGCACAATGTGGTCGAGAAACAGTAGCAATCAAAAAATTTATTAAAAACAAAACAATATGGTGCTCGCTCTTCACAAAGCGACACTTAATAAAAGCGGAATCACCATTAAAAAGGAACCTTCTTAGCAATACGCAATTAATCCTAAAAAAGGACATGGAATATTCTAGGCGATTTCGCTGTGTATCGCTACGCTGGGAGGATCAACGCGTCGTTTGATCTGCGCGCTTGTCAAGGTTGTTTGAAAAATAGAACCGATTGTGCAACGTAGGCGAAGGGGAGAATATCAACGAGGAAAGAACATCAGGCAAGGCCGTGATGGTCCTGTTGTTAACGGCACGTATGTTCCCGCACGATCACGGAGAGATCACTGTAGGGTCATATCGGCAGATGCTCGCGGGCATCAGGCGCATCCCATGGTTCTGTTGACGCGGTCTTCGTCTTTCGCGACACCAGTAATCACAAGAGAGCAAAGCGAGTTCGGCCAAAACTTTTATCCTTTTCGGTGGATGAACAACGCTGCCGCTTGCTAATCAGAAGTGGTTGTTCCATGCTAAGCACCAGTGACCGTACCATTAAAAAGGAAAAAACTGTCAACAGTAAAACGTTTTGATCCACACAAGGGAGGCAACCATCAATTAGCCAGTGAGAACTTCTGCCCAACTTTGGCCTTATAACAGACCAGGTCTCCTGTAATAAATGTCTGGAGTTGGTCAGAAAATCCAACCAATGCACTTGAAATTCAACAAAGTAAGCCTGCTCCACGACAACGGAGTCCACGTTTTGAACATTACACGGCTCTAAACTTCCAAACTTAGTTGAGAGGTCCTACCAAACCCACTGTCTAGAGTGCTTTGATAAGTTGGGTTGAACACCCTTGATCCTACTATATATAGTTCGCTAAGCATGTCTGTGCGTGTGTATGTCCGTGTGTGGTGTGCGTCTGTTTGCCACGAAATTCATACCAGCAGTCACCTGGAGTTGGTTTCAGGATATGATATAGGGGGTGGGACGGGAACATATTTGGTGGGGTACAGAAAGTGATAACAACTGATAAGATCTGATAAGGGGCGTTAGAACGCAAAGTCACGAAATGCATGGCGCGCGACCCAGTGGCAGTGAGGCGTTGTTTTGCAGATATGATATAGGGGGTGGGACGGGAACATATTTGATGGGGACCAGAAAGTGATAACAGCTGATAGGGGCTGATAAGAAGCGTTGGAAGGAAAATGTCACGAATTGACAGCGCAAGGCCCAGCAGCATTGAGGCGTTGTTTTGCAGATATGATATAGGGGTGGGACGGGAACATATTTGATGGGGACCAGAAAGTGATAACGGCTGATAGGGGCTGATAAGGAGCGTTACAAGGCAAATGTCACTGAAGTTCTTATCCAGATGGGATAAGAAAACATCTCATTTTTTTGCGATGTAGTCGTGACCCATTCGACCGCTAATTTGTCCGGGCTCCTTGAATGGTCAGCGTCTGTGCAACTATGAGTATCCCATCATCCAAAGCATGGTAGATGTATACGCTGAGCGCTGATAATAAGCAGGCCCAAGTAATTGTATTAGTTATCCAAAGCTCATTCGGCTGCTAGACTTTGTTAGTTCTAGAAAAATGATGGATGTTTATTGGTATTGACGAGCTATGAGAAATTACTGCTTTATCATCTGATTTCCTCAATACCATCAGTCAAATCCGTTGAATGCAGTATGTTACTCAATGCAACAGTCCGGTCTGTATTGTCTCTTGGTCGTGGCTGAAAAATCATTAGATTCAGTACACATAATGCCAAATTTTATGGGAAGTCGAATGGAAGCTAGATACACACTGTGTCTTAATTATAGGCGCCGAAATTTAAAAAAATTCAGCAAAAGTACTCGACTACATATTTCACCTCATTTGATGATGGTTAGTTCTATAGGAAGGTGTTTTGAAATCTGTTCCTTAGGTGGGGTGAAACCCCTACTTCCTTTAGTATGGCCAAGGGTCTTTCAGTGCGACCTGCGATCATTCGCATGCACGAGGCAGGTCTACCAACAAAGGACAACGACAAATATTTTGTAGTTTCCACAAGGGCAATACGGAAGATTATCATACGATACTAGGAAACATGCTCATCATGCATAGGCTTCAAGAGGGAGGAAAGTCAACAGTTCGGCAGAAAGGGTGACTGAAATATTACTTTTTCGAATTGATCGCGACCCACGACACTCTGACCCAAAGGAGCTGGGTAAATCAAGTCGTTGATGAGGCAGATGGTCAATGAAGAACTTCAAAGCCGCTGCTATCGTATGCAACAGTGGTATCTCATCTCTGAGAACAACAAGCAAACGAAGGTCGAAGATGTAGAAGGGGTTGCTTGCCCCTTTCAGTGAAGACGCGCACACCTCCATCCTTTTTCTGAAGGAAACATTTTTACAGCTGAGCGGATCCACAATAGCCAGAACGATTGCATTCCAGCCAGAAATGCCGAGAGTGCTACTTCACGAGGAAAGATTGCTTTGCAGATCACCGAACTCGGCTCGGTAAGGGTACAAAGGATGTCCACGTCCAGTGGTGAGAGCCCTTAGTTTTTCGTCAAGTTCGGTATGAACACCAACAAAAAGGGACGCTTGAGGTAAGCGTAGCAAGGGCTCAGCCCTAATCCCACCATGGAAATAACCGGAGATGCTTGTAGCAGGGAACTGCTCTAGCCCACAGAAATAAGTTCATCCAGAGTTATACTGGTTTCAGCTGTCTGTCTTGGATAGCACCGAGAAATGGTCATCACTCCCATCAGGTCCGCACCCACCTCACTTACTTAACTGGTCGTTGAGTCAAAGTGTCGAGTTCGCCGTCACAGTTTTGAGTCACTGAAAGCAGCACTTGAAGGAAGCCTGAGAAGAAATAGACGAGGAATTCCTGCGTGCAACGTGCGCGAAGCTGAAGAAGCAACTTCGAGCTTGCATCCGTCGCAGTGGAGACCATTTTGAAATCTGGTTGTCCCCACATTGTTGTAATGGTGTAAGGTAACTAATGGATATTAAGATTCACTCAGCATTCCCCGTTCAAAAATTCGAACCATATTGCTGTGTATAGGCGCCCATAATTTTGAGGCCTCTGTAGATGAGTAGGTGAACCCAGTGACCGAAAATGGTTGGATATTTATTGCCGTTCATGGAAGCTTTTCATTGTTTGCAACAGGCTATTCACTGTGTATAACCCGGTGACAGCGTCTCTGAATGGTATACGTGTCGGAGGCACTATTTCCAATGAAACCAAGAATTTCAGGACGAGGTCGTGTCCCTATTCTGTTACTAAGAGAATCGTCGCTTGAAAACCTCTAGTGCTAATGAAATAAGCTTTGAGTAAACCCTGACGCCACCATCATGGATGAGAGGTGGCATCGCCACGCAGAGCACCTCAAAAAACGTGCGCCAAAGCGATGGCCGCGACGCAACCGCAACACCAATCTGCTCTCAGAGTAATGGCGCGAATGTTCATTTTAGAAAGGCTTTATTCATGTTTTAGTGCTTTGAGGTGGCCTTATTTAGAAGTTTTGTTTCTGAGTGCATCTGTTTCGTAGCTGTGGCTTTCCTCTTTTGTCCACGATCCCCTGTTTGTAAAATGAACGAATGCAAAGCACTCCATCCAGTTTTATTTTTGATTATCTTGTATACATTACATTGACTCTGTAGAAATTTATTTTGATCTTTAGGTATGTCTACCCTCGTACTTGATTCGAGGGCTATTGTCGAAGCTTTATCTTGGTTAAAAGTGGGCATCAGCGTTGAGGATATCGTTCATCCTTCAGTGAGTTTTTGATGTGCTACAATTTTTTATTATACTTTTACGCCTAAGGTTATTCAATGCTTTTTTCATTTATTTTGATGTTTCGAGCAATGTGTCTAGACAAAGTTTCAATTTTCCTGAATGTACCACTATCTTTCCTCTCTCTCACCTCCACCTTCGGCCAATGCGAACTGGGACGATGAAGTAATTCAAGGTGCAAGTTTCGGAGAAGCCTCAGAAAACATGTCCTCACCCGAATCCACCTATAAATGGCGCTATTTCCTGGTACTGGGGCTTTTCCGCCGATTTCCAATGTTTCACTGTGCTCTTTTCCGTTTATGTAGTTATCAGACATGGTACAGTCGTAGTCGCTACTTTTAACATTTCGAGTAGAAGTACAAACAGTCATATTTGTATTTACACACCATACCATTTCTTATCCACTAAGGAGGCTCCTCAATTTACTCATCTAGATGAACACAACAGGGTCTAAAAGCCGATATTCCAGGAGAAATACACTTCAGTTTAATCATACTCGCTAGGAATCAGAATGGCCTTCTTCTTTTTTAACTCTATTTTATCTATCGTTAGTCGAAGTCTTCTTTACAGGCTGACCGTGTGCAGACTGTCTATCGCGCATTCTGTACGGAAGTTCTTGGTGTACCTGAGAAGTCTTTATCTGAGCTACCATTCGAGTGCCAGTTCACTCCTGATATGATAGATATGCATCAGAAAAGCGAGCCGCTCCTCCTTCTGTTTACTACCATGTAATTCTTTGTTAATCTCTTACTTCTTAATCGTATGTATTGCTTTTATGATAGATGCTTTATGATAGAGAATTGGAGTCGTCCTATTGGAAGATACATATTCAAGCTGAGAAAATATGCACAGTGGTGTCATGAGCCAACTCTTAAACTATTACTTTGGTGCAAGTTCTTGTAACTAATACCTTTTTGAAGTGGTTTCAATTATCGAATACCAAGTTACACAAATCCCCAAAATTTAGGTGGTTTCAGCTATGCATGAGTAAACCACAACCAAGCGGAAAGGCATTCCAATAGCGTTTTTGAACTTTAGAATTGAAGTTTAATCATCATATCAGTGTGAATTTGTTTCAAGGCTGATTTTGCTGAATTTTTTGGTGCACAATTTAGTGTTTCCTATGCGACAATTCGGTAATAAATGCTTAGCAGGTAACAAAATTATCTGTTGCAGGCGATGTTTTGTTATGGATTTCGGTGATGTCAACTCGGACTTGACTATGTGCGACCTCATCAATCCACACCCGAAAAGGACTCGGAAACTATTCTCGCTGATAGCAGATTATACAAACTTCTATCGGGTGCGTTTTCACAGTTATTTTCAGTTGAGGATTAGGCGAAGGGGAGGTGTTCAATCTTGAAATCTTGTAGACTTTTACGCACTATTTACCTTTTACTGCCCCACTACTTGAGAACTGAGCCGGGTTTTTATCGAAATTTGTCCATGACTGTGGATTTGGCTAGAAACTTGTAGAACACTAATAAAGGCGCCAGAACATCTCGGATCACCAAATTCGCTGGAAACTTGTCTTCAGAGGTACTTTGACCCGTAGAACATGAATATCACATTAGTTCGTTGCGAGTGAGCCTGTAGCCTGCGCTACGAGCGCCCGCGCAAAACTGTTGTGATAGCGCCGGCGCCTGTGGCGCGGGCGCCAAGCGTTTTCGCGCTAAACCGGTGTGATATTCGTGTTCTACGGGTCGAAATTACCCCCGAAACAAGTTTCTAGCAAAATCCACAGTCATGGACGAATTTCGATCAAAATCCGGCTCAGTTCTTGAGGAGTGGGGCAGTAAAGGGTAAATAGTGCCGACTTTTGTTCAACTTCGTAATCCCAAAATCCTCAGCAGTTGACGTTGAAAGTTTCTTTTATTGATACGTGCACCGTCGAAGACTTCGCTCATATTATCAATCCTAGAGCAGTAGTACAGGATTTAAACAATATTTTGAAGTGCAACTAAGTAAAGATTAAGTTGACTTCAGCATCATTCCTACTACGATGGAGTGCTCTTATACATGAAATTGGACTATATTTAATAAGATTCACATCATGGATTTTGCTGATTCAGCATCCTTTGTTCATTTTTGCATGTTTTTTTTTCAGGTAGCAGCACAAGTGTTTGAAAAGACTAGCAGCGAGTACGATCATGCTAGGATAGCTATAGAAGAGGGTCTAGAAAAAGTGAGCTGTTCTATTTTTTTCAAAGACTAGTTTAGCATATAATCTTTTCAAGGTTCGCATAGCAGAGGAGAGGAAAAATACTCTACGAAGTGACCGTGAAAGTCGCAAAAGAAAAGAGAACGGGGTAATTTTTGCGCATTTCATTCTATTCCATTCTATATGAGAAAGATTTGGATTCAGCTCCTGGCCGAGAGTGGCAAGAAGAACACTATCCTCACTGAATTGATGAAAGAGACTCAAGCGACTGAGTGTAGAAGGGATGGAATCATAAAGGCGATCGAAGACGGGAAGGAAGTAATCGTACGTCATCATATAATTGCATTTCATTATAGTAATCCTAACGATTTCACTGTTGTATCAGGTCAAAACTCTCGCGGAAATAGAGGCACTCGAGAACGAGATTCAGCATCTTTCAAAGGGGGTCGTGAAATCTCCTGTTCGAGTTCGTAATGATGTCGACGAACAGCGATCCCTTATCAGGCGTCTTCAGGAAAGCTGTGATGCTGAAAGGTCTGAGGTTACAGTCTTCTCCCTGTGAAAGTGCTCCCATACCAATTTCAGACAGCGAATTCATAACAATAATGAGAGTGTGTCAGTGATCGAACAGGTGTCCAAGCTGCTTGGCGAGCGTCTGAAAGAGCTTGAACGTCTTCGCGACGCCCAGGTGAGAAACAGTGCTTGTTGAATGAACAAAAGAATCTGTCTTCCACTTTGGATGCTCAATTCAACAGTTGCCTGACGAGTCGAGCTATTCATCGCCCTGAAATTTTTTTATACGGCTCTTTTATTTTACTGCTGCGTCTTGCGTTGATGATGCAGCAAGTTTCCGTTGTAGCTTCATACTTTGGAATTCGCATTTCAGGTTCAACTTAACCTACTGCACCATGAACGTATCAATTCTGAGGCACAGGTTGCCGAAGCTAGCAAATATAAGACACAAAGGGAGGAGGCATTAAATGTATGTTTCTCTGTTCGTTGTGTGCCATGAAGGCATGGTTTCTATGAAACTGCCGATCTAACAGAAGACTTAGAAATCCCCTTGAAGGCTAATGTCAGACTTCGCGAATCAAGCGATTTGCAAAGTCTGAGCTCTGCCTAAGCTCAATCTATACATTGACAGTTTTACTCATAGAGATTGGTGAAGTTGGGTGAGGAGGAAGAGAAAAGTCACAGACGTGCTTTGGAAGTGTTTAGTACACGGCTGCAAGACTTGAGGATGAAGAAGGAGGAACTCATAGAGTAAGTGTAAGATTGAAATGGTCTCTCTTTTCATCACAATAGCTCGTGGTCCTCGTTATTCTCTTACATTCCTTTTAGTATCATGGACAATTTGCGGAAAGTTGCTCCTACAATTCGGGATGAGTCAGTCCAGCTACGCAGTGAAATGGTTCGACTGCGTAACGAAAGAACAGAGGAGACAGAGCTTGCACGTAGATATTGTTTGGAACTCCGAAGTCGATTTTTCGATTTATTGGAAAAGGCTAGTTTTACATTGTTTTTTTGAAGTTTAGGTAGTTGTCACTTCGAAACCTAGCAATTTCGCTTCATTTTGTCTCAAAACTAGATGTATTTGTAGTTTATCGTGAGCTGTTGCTTTAATTCAAATTATATAGAATCCCGGTTGTTTTGTGATTCATTCTACTTGGTGAATTTTCCCCTTAGTTTATATTGAAAACCTTCTGGCCTTGACGTCGTACTTGAGATGATCTACACGGGGTCCATGAATGCCCATGCGCTTTCTAACTATGAAGTTCAGCATTTGATTCACTTTCTTCTCGGATTTCTGACCTCGAATGAATGTGATGAATGATCCAGCTAGAACTATTTTCGGAATTACGACGAAAGGAATAATCCGTAATATAAGATAGTTAGCGACTTCCGAAAATGTAGCCTCTAGCATATTTTACCATTTTCGTAATGAAGTTGAATAGGTAGATCGGGACAGAGCCACTATCCACCTGGGAATTGAAAACGGTTAACTAAGAAGAGAAAAAACAGGTCGCGTTTGCATTTAGTTAGCCATGCTCAGGTCGTAGGCCAAACACAGTAAACAGTAAGTGTAGTGTAAGTCCGGTTATTGTGCGTGTTAATTAAGCACACTTTAACACGTTGACGACAGCATGACGCGCATGCGCGTCAGAATTTTACCCGATTCTGGCTAGTTTTTTATGGTTTATTTGGCCTTTTTCATATTTCAAAACTGTGTGCATGCGTCATCTTATCCGAAAAACTGTGAGTCAATTACCAGTAGTGGAATTATTGAAGAAGTTATGACGATTGTGAAAAAAAATAAACAAAAAGTTGCCAAGGTACACGCATAAGGGGCTGTCGTCAACGTGTTAAAGCATCTGATTGATTGGCAATGTTATGATGCTAATATATGGTCATCATCTCCCCCCGTTTTGCTTCTAGTACCACAAAGCGGAGAAGGTTTTCGACGCACAAGCCAAGTCGTTCTCTGAAGCGATCCAGAACATCTCGATGGGCCTCGACGACATTGAACTAGCGGCCGGTGACAACAATTCGTTGTCAGATTAAACGAAAATTCCCATCGGCTCCTATGCTGTACATGTTTCTTTTTCAATATTCATGTGCTTTACTGCTTTCGTTTGCTTGATTATGTTAAGACTTCATTAACGCATGTATATTAATTTAATTACTTGTTTTCTTGTTCCGATTGAAATGTGTTAATAAATTTTCTCTCGTAATTATACCGATTTCATGCGCGTAATCGTCGTAAGCGTCAACTCCTATGTAATATCGTGTTAATTTCAACTGTTCCTAAAATTTGAATCAGAAGGAACAGTAACATAATCTAATGTAGACTGGAGTTTCTTATTGCTAGCATTTGGAACATTTGAATCTCCAAAAATATACTGTAATTCAACCTAAGTTTTAACCGTGCTCTTCCTAAGAAAATTTCTTTCTAATATAGTACATCACTTAAAATAAAACCTCGTCGTATAACTTCGTATCTGCCCAGAGCTTTATTTCTTATTATTCTTATGGATTGTGAATTCGAAATTTGATTTAATGCGAGCCATTGGACGACGAGAGAAAACAGTTCATTTTTCTTTAGGCGCGTTTAGGTGATCACTTTTGCCTCTCAGTGAGCCGCTTTAGAAGTAAAATGTTGTTAATGCTGAAGTTCAGGGAAGTTCACGGCTGTCACGTGCTGCGCTTGAGAGACATGAAATGACATTTGCCGTAATTAGGGTTTATTTCTGTTTCTAAGTGAACCCTCACCTAGCAGGCACTGCAGCATACGGACTACTTGAACTCAGCCCTTTAAACCTCTGCGTTCTCTCGTGGGTCCCTCTCCTCTCCAAGGCTTAGTCCTAGGGCATTCACCCGTTCTCTAATCGTCTGTGCTCTAGCCATCGCGGCAGGACCATTGAGGAAAAATCAAGTAGTCCGTAAACCGAAAAGGCGGTCACCAAACCAAAGAATTCGGACTGGGCTGGCGGTGCAGCAGTACCGCGGGATTCTTCCCAAAACTGCATCGCTCGGGAACATTTACCAAGAGGACTGACGTCATCGACCGTCGGCTAAGAAACGCCGAGAATTACGTGGGAACGCCCCAACTGTGGTAATGTTCACACAGCCCCTGTTTGTTTCTATGAAATTAGTTTGGGGAGGGGTAAAATCACGTGGCGCACCGCAGAAACCCAAGGGGCTGCCTTGTCTAAACTGTGGGACTTGAGCGTAAAACCAGTTAGGGTTAAGGTTTCTAATTTCGTGATTCCTAATTTCGATTCGATGAATTTCTAGATTCCTAATTTCGTTCATGTTATTTATAAGCTCATAAATAATAGACGATGGATAGAATTTTTTTCTCCACTGGGAATAATTCAGGGCTGGAAGGTCTTACGGTATAAACCCAATTGGGGGTATTATACCACTTGAGTAAAAGTGGGCTATTACGTATAACGACTGTTGGGTAACAAGGTTCTTCTTATTTTTGCGCAGAGAGCTCTCTGGATTTACTAAGAATTCACTTGAATTTGATTGAGAATTTCAAAAGAATCCACCGTGTACCTGACCTTTCGGCCAGAAAAAACGGACGCTTTGCCTCAAAATCACAAAAATACAATTTTCTGCTGACCCGGCCAGACGAATACTTTATGCTGGCTCTTACAGCCACACGGCGCATGGCTCTTCTTTCTCTGGCCTCCAACGGTAAATCCTGAACAAAGTTCCGTTACCCCTACTGGTTTAGTGGTCGGTATGGCAAGACGTTGACGAAAGTTGCGCTGTCACAGCGGGTAGCGCTGATTTTCGTTTTATACTTGAATAGGAGTGAGAAGGGCAAGTGCCAGATTGCTTTGCAATGGCCAACTTCCGTACAATTAGTGACGAATTGCTTTGTCAGTTCGCCTGCATTTTTCTCTCGCTTTCGCTCGTTCTTAACAAAAGCTCCGTAATTGCCCTCTATTGTGTGACGACGGGCAGAGAATATCAGCTCGTATTTTTTATGAACTCCGGTGTAATTTTGCCTCCCCGACCAACTGGCTGGTGAGGCTCAATTTCAAAATCGATGCCACCAAAATACCCCTGTTTCAGAAAACTTGAAGCGTGTCGAGTCCAGACCACACCACAAGTGACGACGGCCTCTACAAAACGTTGATTGTTTTGCCATGAAATGATCAGCCGGTTGCAGTTTTATTCTAGCAGTTGTCACTGATTACAACTCATGGAGCAATGTGCGTCAGGGCCCAGTCAGTAGGAAGGAGACATGGACTAAGTAAGTCTAACGAAGAGGAACGAGTCCTTAAGGGAATGGGAATTGCTTCAATTGCACCTAGGAGTCCTTCTCTTCTGAGGCTAAGTCCTGAAACTGAGTGTTTGTGTGAATCTGACGCGGTGTTACGGGTTGTTCCTCCTCCCCCCGCCTGGGCTTCACTCCAGTGACTTAATTGTGAGGTCTCCCTTTCAGAATACAGAGGAATCATATTGACGATTGAAGCAAACAGTTCACGTATATCACCCGTTTTGTCTCGCGGGTCATCGCATAGCACGAGAAGAATTCGAAATCTCCCCTGATTCTGAACTTAAAGACACAGGTCGGGATCGAATTATGAGTTACTTCGTTCGAAACTGGACAAGTAGTGCAATGAGGAATGTTTTTCAGGAGAAAACGAAAAATCACCATAGAAAACACTGAAATTTCCCTTTTAAAGGTCGCTCTTGCTATGAACGAGAGAAAGAGAAAGAGAGAGATAGCGCTGCGAGGAGAGGGAAAACGCGAGAGAGCACGTCTACGCGAGAGGGCGCAGACGCCACGTATGCCGCGATTGATAAGGATGGCAGCACGGCAGCACACAAGGCAAGGCTTAGCGCCGTTGCCTCGCACGTTTGGACTCCTGTGCTTGAGAACTCCTTTTTCACTCAGGGAAGGGCTGGTTTTTGGCACCAGGTCCCGGAAGGCGGCTTTTAGTCATCGTGAAAGAGCACTTCATCTCTCAGAGGTATCTGACACTGTCACTCTTGTCGTGCACTTTTCAAGCGCGGGAGAGGCACGAATTGTTGGACCCTGCTGCCATGTTCACATGAAGGACTATCCCAATTAACCCTTTGACTACTGGTGGGACACATGTGTCCCACTTCGTAGTCAAAGACACTACCACAGTTCCAGGGAATATTGAGGCAGGAGCGGCTCATTTGATGGCTGAACTTGTGCACATATAGAAGCTTTCTAATTCCTACTATGACAATTAGTCGTCAGCTAAAGCGAGTCATCCTGCGTAAGTTAATCTTTGACTACTGGTGGTACACATGTGTCCCACTTCGTAGTCAAAGACACTACCACAGTTCCAGGGAATATTGAGGCAGGAGCGCTCATTTGATGGCTGAACTGTGCACATATAGAGGCTTCCTAATTCCTACTATGTTCCCAAGTTTTCAGAAAAGCTTGGCGAACGAAAAATGGTGGTAAGGTGTACTATAAAATACTACAGGTGGCGGTTGTAAACGCATGGATATTATATAGGAAATCATCACGAGAAAAAACGAAGCTGATCAAATTCCTTGTTCCTTGCTCAGCAAATGATTGCGCAGGGGAGGGAAAGGACGGCTAACAGGCGCAAGCCCGGCATGGGAGAGGCCACCAAAAAATTTCAGGAGGATCATCAACGTTGGGGACCATATGCCACTACAGTTAAAAACGCGTCGGCGAGGTAGATACTGCGCGATGTCAAAGAAAGAAACTCGTACAAAAATAATGTGTGCTGCCAATTTATTGAACAAAAAAATCATCCGAGCGGAAATGGTGTTATGACAAGACGGGCCGCTACCGCGCGCATGGTCCCTAGATCAAATCCCAGGTCACACCCAACGTACATCAGCCAAATTTCTATAGCTGGTTGCCTGTTGCTGGGAGGGATAATTGCAACGCAGAACACATTTATAACTCGATTCTAAAAAAGTCGTAGTCTAAGGGTTAACTAATCGCGGATTGTTTAAGTGCATATCTGGCGATTTGCCCTCTGAAGTACTATTCCG